TTTTTTTTTTTTTTTTTTTATTTTTTTTTGAAAATTGTTGATATATGTACATTTAAACAGGCAAATAAAGGTTTCAATAATCCTACTTTTTCATGATTTTTCAAATTAATGAGCACTTATTAACATTTACTTAAAAATGATTATTAACATTTACAAGATATCATAGCTTTCAAGAAACCAACGATGCTAAACAACCACTTAAATATTCCTCTTTGTGATGGCTTTCAAGTAATCTGAACCTGTTTTATGAGACCAATTCACGGACATTTCAATGGTAATCTCTAAAAACATGTTTCACGTGACATTTCTTGGATTCGACTTGGATTTACATGGCGGGTGTCCTCACATTGATGATGAAACTGACAATGCCATGAGGGGGGGGGGGGGGAAATAAAAAACAATTCTACTAACAAAAAAACACAAGGAGAAAAAGCTAACGTAAGGTCAGAGACAATTGTGCTGTCACGAGTTACAGACACATAACCAAAGACGCACTTAAATTTCGCAGAACAATGAACTTAACTGTTGCATCAAGTCAGAAAAGGTTGCTTACTTGAAGTAGTTTAAACGACCGTACTCTCCATTTATCTCAAACACTCTCCCGAATCCTCCAACTACCATGCACCCCTGGAATACAGAGATAGAAAACGGTTCAAGGACTGTTAAAAAGAGGGAGTTACTTTCTATTACCTTGTGTGATATATAGGTCCAAGATTGTTTTTATGCTTTTACACTTACCAGTCCAGAGAACCTTATCTTTTTATTCAGTGTACTTTTTCAAGATACCCCTTGCCTTTTTTTCCTTTGAAGATCACATCGATATGCAAATGAGCCAATACACATAGCCAATAAAACTTGTATTTACCCTTCTGTTGTACAGTACTTAAATATTTAAATTTGCACCAAGTAAACGTCAGCCTATGAACCGAAATGAGTAGTAATACAAACTCTCGTTTGACTCTCGTTTGGGGCGAGAAGTTAACTGTTTCATCATGAAACCACAGCAGTGATATTTTACTATTTTAAAACTACCACACTTTATAACTTTAAGGCAGAAATGAAATGTTATTTTTAATCTTGTCTTCAGCCATGCTACAGGTCAATACTGTTTAGTCAGAAGCCAGCTCTCACTAGATCACTCTCAGGCTCGTCCGTTTCTCGCTTCGTTTAAAACAAGATGTTGCTATCAGTGTCACTCGGTTCAAGTAAAACGATCAGAGAAAAATATTTTTCTCCATGTTTCACCATAAAGTCGACCAGCAATATGATGTCTACTCTTTGTTCCTTTGTGACATCACCATCAAAATGTTTCTTCAATATTATTATCATCATGTAATAAAACATATTTCCATATTATGATAAAAAACAAACATTTTCCCTCTAGATTCAAGTAATTGAATATGTGTTACAAAGTGAGTGCATGTGGCATTCATGTAATATAATACACGATCAGTTACCAGCACCTCTCGTCAAACATTATTTTACAATACTATGTTAAGGCATTAAATATATAACTAAATATTGATAAACCAACCTTGATGATGATACCAGCAATCCCACAATACATGACCACACACTGGAAAACGTCCGTCCATATGACCGCCTTTATACCTCCCTTTAGAAATGAAACTGATAGACATCTTACAAGCAACAAACAGGCAAAATTCAGTCAAAATCACACTGTCAACAACCAAACAAAATACTGTGTATATTCACCTTTTGCCGATGATATCCATGTGCGCCTAGTGTTAATTTTGCCATTTAAATTTGAATACAACGGATAACATATTGTGTACTAATATTCGCTGTCATTATAAAATTCGTCCTCGTTGTATGGGGAGAGAGACATTTTTTTTAGTTAAACTGCGGACAAACTTCCTGGTATACGATAACTATAAAATCAACAGGTATCATAAAGGCAACAATCAGGAAAAATCAAATAAAACATGGGAGGTAACAAAAAGTCAACAGACGGGAAGCACAAATGAATACTGCAATCATATGCAAAAAAATGTGACATCACACAGGAAGCAAAAGTCAACAAACAGACATAGGGCAGAAAGAGTTAGAAAGAAAAATGCATCCGACAACAAACCCATCAACACACAGGAAACACATTGACATCTACAGTCAACAAAAAGGCAATAGTCAGAAAAGTTCATAAAGAAAATAATTAGACAACAAACCCAACAACACAAAGGAAATCATGCAAAAGTTGAAAAGGAAAATAACAGACTATCCAAATCTATTCTCATTAACGATAAATGCATAATATCATATCCGATAGCAAAATATATTATCCTATTACCTATTGATTTGGGGAATATAATTAAATAATATATCAGGTAATGTTGCAATTCTTAATCTACAAATTACAACAGATTGATATCATCAAGAAATGAACTAATACATTACTTTGCGTACAGTCAAACCTGCACATGCGACTACTTCAACCAATTGTTTTCATAGATTACCTGTATGGTTTCCTTTTGTATTGATGTCATTGTCAATGAAATCTGTATTAAGAGACCACATGTGTTAAAAGACCACTTGTTTGTTCCCTGTGTAAGTTTGTAGTGATTCAAACAGTATTAAAAGACCAATGTCAATGTTTGGACTTTTTGAGTGGCCTCTTAATTAAGGTTGGACTGTAGAACCACAATAACAGCAAAGTCCAAAAGTGGGTATAACTTACAATGGCGGTATATATAACAGCGGCCAAGGCTATGACCACCATAGATATCCACAACGGCAGATTCGCCACTGTAATGACAACGCATAGTTACAATTAGTATCTCGTCTAACCGTCGGGCTAGCTTTACATAATCAAGTGTGCAACTTAAATGAATTGCATTTATATATGTGTGTGTACCGTTAAATGTGTTGCATACCTTTGTTCACCTTCTTCGTTCACATACAGACGATAGGATTTTTTCCTTATTTCAGGACTTAAGCAATTCCTGTCGTTCATTTTCTTACTTAAATTGTAATTAATCAATTCATACAATCAGAGGTGAGGATTACATGATATACAGACATGTGTTTTTTTTCGGTGAAGACTTCCGACCTAAACATTCATAAACGTATTCTAACTAAATTTACAGTTAATCCTTTAAAACATGTGTTAATATAATGGTACATATACAGGTTAAATGTCTGACCTGCCTCCAGTGCAGTCCCCGGTCCGTACAGAACGACACCCATGTAAAATATCTTGTTAAAAAAGAAAACAGAATCCACTGAATGCAAAATTCATTGAACAAATAGTTGGTGAACGTCATATTGTCATCATCTACACGTCCTTTATATGACGTCGGGTATATGTGTTAACATTTAGAAGTGTATCTATGTGCTTGTATTGCGAGAAGAAGGCGCCATAGTAATTTTCGAAAATTAGCCGCTTCCTACCGACTCGGCTAAGGAGAATTTCTCTTTAGATTACCAGAGGTATCGGGTTCGACTCCTAGCGGAAGCATTGTAAACGCAATGACCACTGTTGCATATGTTTTAAGCATGTGTCGTACATTTCAGGTGAAGTTTCTATAATAATATCATAATATAATATGATAATACTGGAGCCTGTATATCCAGATCATATGTATGGTCATTCCGACAGTGAAGAAGTTCATTATTGCCAAGTTCATGATTATAAAAACATTCTGGTTGTCCCAAGTACTTATCCAGTCGACGTTTAAACGATTTCTACAGGGAACATTTCACACATTTGTTTTAATAAAAACATGTTTACACATAAAACAGTTAAAAAGATATAAGTAATGATTATCTATAAAATCCTAACCATGTTATGTTACTGAATGTACTTTATTAACTATTAATAATAATTTAACACTTACCGTATAAAGCATCCCCATGCCAGTTCCTATTTGACGAGGTAGACGATTGTTGTAGCGTAGCTCCAGGTACTGAAAACAAGTCAACATGCTAGTTTTATATGGTTCACATTCTAAACAGAGGGCAGATTTGTAAATAGAAATGTTTTGTTAATGCTTAAACCATAATATTGACATAATTATTTGAAATACGAATTAAGAAAAAAACTTGTTTCAAAATTCAAAGTGTCGATGCAGAAAGCAAAACAGAGAAAATATGTCACTGCACCATATGACCATTTCAGCCTATGAAAAGCTAGGCTCATTTAATCCCAAATGATTATTCTAACAGTAATTGATAGTTAAAAAAACCACGAAATCGTCAGAAAAATCGGCTTTGTATGAGAATACAAATTTGTTTTGTTAATGTTTTAGTGTAAACACTAAAACATAGAGCATATATTGCCCATGAGCCGTTGATGTCATCATTATGACGTCTGAATTAATATGTTGGATAACACTGACCCTCCCCGAACTGATGGATGTTCATTTCATTGACCAAACGATCATTACATTATTTGAACTAAATATTAAATAATAGTTAATCAACTTCTTTGAGATAAACAGATTCCAAAAATGGTAAATAAAAGTATTGAACTGTTTTCAGTTGGTATTCATAGGCAATAGGAATGGCAACTGGACAAAGTCAAATTCAACATGAAGCGCTAGCGCGTTTTAATGAAATTTGCATTTGTCCAGTTGGCATTCATATTGTATATGAATGCTAACTGCAGCTCTTCATGTTTGCTTTGCCTTTTGTCCAGTTGGCATTCATACTGCCTATGAACGCTCAAATATCACACTTTATATATCGGTTAACAGATGAATTCTTATTACTATTAATTAACGCCTATATATGAATTAAATCTCATTAACTTGCAGTGCTATCAGAATACGAAGTCGTCAGTTAAGTACAACATAAGGAAAATAGGAGGTGCACTGGAGCGCTAAATGTTTTCCGTACCTCGTTTAGCTCCCATTATCTCTTTCTCGTCAGGTCCAAATAAAAAGTATCCGAAATGAGATCTAACAGTTTTGTATGAATAATAAATGTTCGTTTTGAACACAAACAGTAATTGAAAAATTTGTGTTGCGATCTTTCAAAAACGTCTGTTTCCTTTATCAAGTAGAGAGTGCCAATGACCGGTGTATCGACTCTAAACCGCTGAAAACAACTCACTTAGCAAAAATGTGCCGAGTCAGTAAAGTCAGGATATATCGAAACACTTAGCCAAATAGCACTCTAATACTGCAGGCAGTCGGAGGGACAGGTAATATGTTTGTCTTTTCCGCCCCATAGTGGCTTAGTGAGTTCATTTCAGCAGTTAAGAGTCCAGCCACCGGTCATTTTCGCTATTTGCTTAAAAAAGGAAAAAGACGTTTTCAAACGCTCGCAAAAGGAGCTTTCAATTGCGGATTTGGTTCAAAATAAGCTAAGTATTTTGAAAAAGTAACAAACTATCTTAGTTACCAATCCAGCAGGTTGGATATTGAGAAAAGAATACACCTTCTGCTACCTACTGGATATTGTAACAGGTAACTGATAGAATTGGGAATTTTCTGTTGTGCCCTCTACTTTGGGACACAAAAGCGACGAATAATAAATCTGCTGCACACGTTGCAATATTTGGGATTTCTTTATTTCTCTCTGCTTCGTATTAACCTGTTGTTGCCTAGTACCTTGCTTGGCAACATCTCACGTTTAACCTTACTGTTGAACGTTCGCTTAACTTGTGAAGACAGTGGATTCATCTCGAGGCCGGGACATACCAAAGACTTCAAAAGGGAAGTTACTATTCCCTGCTAAACGTTCAGCATTGAGGACTGTGGAGTTATACATAAACATATGTGAAACAAACTATAGTAGGTGTATGCATTCTGATAGAGACTAACGTGACAGCTTCGTTTTGGGTGGGACATTCTAGATGTCTCCCACGTAACTACATGTGCGATGTGTATGTCTACACATGTAATATAGTTGTCATACAATGCCTGCGTCCGAATCGTTTTTATAACAACATAACAAGAACATTTTCAACAACTGGTTTACCCGTTGACAGTATAATGTGATCGAGTGGAATATTGTGCTAGGTGTTTTAGGCATGGTAATACGGTAAGGTAGCACTCTATAGTTGGCATCAGATCCACGCTATCGCAAGGTGACGAATTCTCTAACAACCCGCCTCCAGCACATATTATAAATATGGAGGAACGTCCTTAACTGACTTTAGCTGTAAGTAGAACGCTAAACCCTATAAAAACCCAAACCAAATCTAAGTAACCAACCAATTAACCAATCAAGATGATTGGTTACTTGGTTGGTGGCGATCAACATGATGATATTCGTAAAGTGTATCACGTGAAGAAGAGGACTCTAAATTATATCGTCTGTAACAATTCCCATATTCGTATTAACCACCACGTTATGTACCTCATACACACTGGTGACTCGGAGAGGGTGAATGAGGGGTACGACTATCCTGATGGCTATCAGCTGTGCCAGCATGAATCCGATCGTAAACCACCAGAACATGATACCGTATGTATAAACCTCAGCCGGAAACCCTAGCATCATTATAGAGGACTCGTAAGACACCATCAAGGAAAGTCCCACAGGAATGATAGTCATATTCCTATTTCCGAGCAGGTACTCCTTGGTGGTCTTCTGTCGTCCGCCGGATAGCGCATAGTATACCCCAATACTTAGAGATATTAGCAACGCCGCAACAAACACGAGGAAGTCAGCGAGCTTCAGTGACGGGATATCCTGGGTGTCTAAAGGATGTACAATACAACATTTATCAAACTAGTCATAGTCATGGGAAGGTTTTGCAAGCAATTATAAATTGCAATATATTTCAACATTGATTTTAGGGAGTATTGCTATATGTCACAGCATGCTAATATTATAATGGGAAATTGTATATATATAAAAAAAAAATACGAAAAAATAAGTATCCGTCAGCAAGCTTCAAAGATTAATTAAAAACTTTCTTGTACAGTCCAAGAGTTACGATCCGGTACGATCCGGTACGATCCGGTCGACCTACTCTTCAGAAGAGTAGGTAGATCGTACCGGATCGTACGGGATCGTAACTCTTGGCTAGCGAAGGAGATTATCACACCGAGCAAGCTTTACATCATACAATTATTACTGGATATGTTGAAAATATATCTTGCTTTTCAAAATCATATCGTCGGACAAATATCGCAGTATAAATTTGTATTGCAACATTATTGCCAATCCCTAGACAATTTCTTGCTGTCAATGATTGCGTTTGGACTGCTAAAAATAATAGACTTTTATGGATGATTAATGATAATTGATAGAATGATTTAAATCTTATATTTCAATCGTTAATCATACGTTTCTACAAAAAGAGCTATATTATAGACACTAGCTGCCTCCGGAATACAAATATCCTCACTTACGGATCCCTGCACCTTGGTTTTCCCCTTTTATGCAGTAACCTCTCCTTAACTTCCAATTGGATAAATTTTGTTTATTCAATTTTTAATATTCCTCATAGAAGTACCGTAAGGTATTATTTTCTTTCAAGAAATTATTTATCAAAGCTATAGTCATGCAGGGAAAAAAAATCCGATACTTAGATTTCGGCAGTAGTACGGGTATCCTTAAAGAACGTTTTCAATCTGTTTCTTTTAATGACTATGTTTCCTCTAAAATCAATTGAAATAGAAAATTGTTTAGGAGTTCATACTAAGAAAGAACTTCCTGGATGATATGAAAGAAATTCTAACCCAATAACAATGAAAACAAATCCGTGAAATATAAGAATATACAAGTAAGCGCGCTAACGTTCTTAGAATTAAGATTTAAAATATCGGGCCTAGCTTACATCTATACATAAACCTATTCTTAATAACTGAAGAAAACTCATTTGATGAAAACAGCAAATCAACTCACCCTCCATTTTGCTCGATGTTGTAGCATAATCTATACAATCGTGAACTTCGTTCTGTGACGTATTTTTGCAGTGAAACTATCCGTGCTACAACGTAAGTGAGTACATGAAGGCCGAGATAGTCAACGATAAGGGATTTTTTCTTTGTAGTAAAATATTCATCTGGGTCGCAAAAGAGGTTGACATGTTATAATTTTGATGGAGATATTGGCCTTCATACAGACAAAGCTGACGTCGCTAGGTATGATTTTAAGAACTAAAGTACAAGTTCAGCATCTCTAAATTACATAGGAATAGTTGAATTCGGATGTTTAGTTGGGGTCTTTTAGAATGATTTATCAGGAGGTTGAACTTTTGGGTAACTCAACTTTTTTGGTGATATGTTGAACCACTATGTGTATCTTGTTAATGGCCACGGTGTTTGCTTTGATAACCAATATTTGATGGTTTTTTTATTTAGGTTAAATATGCATGCAAGCTGTATGAAATTGGAATCCGTGAGTTAGCAGATCATTACCTATGTATTTTATTTAGATGTATGCACATGCATATAACGTATGGAAGATGAACGGTACACACACATAGGTTATTACAGTATTCCAAATATGAATGACACTGTATCCTACAGCTGAGGCTGCGGGTCAAAGGACTGGAAATCAAAATTGTCTAAACCACTGAGGAAACAGAGGGGCCAAGCTCGCAAAAATAAACATTTATAGAGAAATAATGGTTAATTAAAATTGATTAGTCAGTAAGGTGGGTAAACCAAGCCACTGCACAAAACAGATTACTGTGGTCAGCAAGGTTGAAGGGACCCTCGGGTGCAAAGAAAAGGCAGAGTCTATCATTTTGTATTTATAACACACACAGGTGATTGCACCTTCACCATGTGGTAATATGTACAGTAAGCCAGTGATGAATAAGACTCATCATTCAGCTGTAACATCCTTCTGGCACTCATCAATGATGCTTGGGGCTCCTGCGATTGTGTTACATAACTTCCTATGAGGATACATTCTCTAAAGTCCAGGGGTTACTCTCTTAAATTTTCTGCACCCCTGCCATATGTCATGATGAAATCGAAGGCTTTGTACGTGCAACCTCGTTGATTATCGGAGATTTGTGTAATTCTTTGATTACATCAAAAGAATCGTGCGGCACCGTAACGGTTAAAATTGACTGGCTTTGAAGTCTGGTGTGGCTCCACTGTAATCTTCAAATGCTAGGTATCAGCGTAGTGATCGGTCAAGGTTTTTTTCACCTGAAACCAATCAAATAGCTAACTGCATGCATTCGATTTTGCCAAGACATATTCCAGGGGTGCAAAAACGTAAATAAGCGTAACTACTGGAATGAATTTTCGAGGATAGTACATCGGATTAGTATCCTTGTATTGGGATCTCATAAGCCTAAGGAAACCGACACAGCTTATGCTAGTGTTAAATCCATTTTGTGGAGTGAGAAAAGAATATACCTGTCATAACCCACTTCATGTTGTAAAAGGCAATTAATGAAGGAACTTGGGATTTGCTTTTATTGCCTTGTACTTTGAGAAAACAAAAGTGACCAATGCACCCATTGCAACAACGGAGATCTTTAAATTTTCTCTTCTGAATGGCCTTTTTTTGTTTTCTTGAAATTTTCTGGGCACCTCTCTTTTGACGATGGTGTTAAAGGTTTGAGGAGGGTAATGGGTTGTCCCCAGGCCAGGATGTACCAAAGTCTATCAAAATGGTAGTTGTAATTTCCCCATAAAAGTTCAGCACCATGGGTAATCGCAAAATCTGGTTCACCCGTTGTCAGTATCTTGTGACCAGATGGAATACAACATTGGGTGCCTTCGAAATGGTATTTCAGCGAGGTAGCACTGTAAGTCGACATCAGATCGCAAGTAGCCAAATACACCACCATCCAGCAACCATACACGTACAATTACACACATAGACATATCCTTAAATGGCTTATAGAACGATAAGCCCTATAAAACTAAACCAAATCAGGGAACTTTATAGCGACAACTCCTTCCTCAACCAAGGAACGACAAATTCTTAAATATAGTCATTATTACGTTAAATGTGTGTGAAATTGACTGTAGTTTAAACATACGTTTTTATGTTCTAAATGTGTACAATGAGAGTAGACACGTCTTGTAATCAAATCCTTTACAAGTTGTATTTTATAATCGACAGCAATATAAATATTTATTATATAACACAGGCTATTTCCGTGCAATATTGCCGTTCAATAAAAAAGATATAGCACACGTACAATAAACAAGCAAATAAGTCTTGTCACCGTGGGAAACAGGTCATATTCCTACGCACTACAACTTCTACGTTTGTAAACAAAATGGCTGACCGAGTTACTCTTTGCATTGATAGCAGAGGCAGAGGCACGGGAGAATACAATTAACAAACGAGTTTAATAAATTCAGTATTATATAATCACGATTGTTAGCTTCACACAAATTTAACAACTGCATGTTCAAATTCCACTTCAACTTCTCCGACATACACACAACAAGAGGCCCAGAGGGCCTGTATCGCTCACCTGAATATTTAAGCAGTCATAGCACATATTCTCATTAAATATTATACTGTACTACAAATTCATAGCTCGCAAACTTTGTCGTTCTTCTTCAAACATTACAGTTTTATGCCTTTCGATTTTTCAGAAGAAGGTCAGTCATTTTCATTCTCAAACTTTGTCAGGCTCTATCTCACGAAGCCACAAGGCAAATATGAAGGTTCTACACATTTTAGTTTTTCAGAAGTCATTTAAAGAGTTTGGCATATTATACCACTGTGACCTTAAAAGTAGGTGAAGGTAATTTTCATTTTCAAACTTTGTCAGGCTCAAACCAAGGAAGCCTCCAGCCAATTTTGAAGTTTCTATACCTTTTAGTTCTTCAGAAGAAGTCGTTTGAAGTGTTTGACATATTTGACTGCTGTGATCTTGAAAGGAGGTCAGTGTCATTTTCATTCTCAAACTTTGTTAAGCTCTATCCCAGGAAGCCACCAGCCAAATTTAAAGATTCTATAACTTTTGGTTCTTCTGGAGAAGTCGTTTAAAGAGTTTGACATATTTGACTCCTGTGACCTTGTAAGCCAGTCAAGGTCATTTTCATTCTCAAACTTTGTCGGACACTATCCCAGGAATCCACCTGCCAAATATAAAGATTCTATACCTGTTGGTTCTTCAGGAGAAAGCGTTTAAAGAGTTGACATATTTGACCCCTGTGACCTTGAAAGGAGGTAAGGTCATTTTCATTCTCAAAATTTGTTAAGCTTTATCCTAGGAAGCCACCAGCCAAATATAAAGAATCTATACTTTTTGGTTCTTCAGAAGAAGTCAAGGTCAAGGTCATTTTCATTCGCAAACTTTGTTGGGCTCTATCCTTCGGGCAGGTGAGCTAATAAATGGCGAACACATGTAATTAACAGGTCAACTTCATCAGTGTTCCAGTTTCATGGCGGATTCCACAGTATATTTTCTGGCTCAGTGACAGGCGGAAACATCAAGGTTCACATTCACCGACAACACTCTCAAAAGAAATGGGCTTGTGTTAGAGAGAGTGAAAATCACTCCAGTCCCTGTAAACTTTTAAAAAGTGCAGACTTTGATGTGTATTGTGATGACCTTTATCTTGACAGTGCATGTGCCTTTGTGCCAAATATGTGACGTCACTGCTATTTTCGTAAACGCCAATTCAATGAATGGTTTTCGTATAAAAAAATGATCATTAATGTTGTCATGATAATTATTAAAACATTGGTTGATGATAAAACCCTTAATGATTGTTTGTTCATTGAAAAGGTTCTCAGGAAGAACTTTCTGAAACTTTTTTGTAGTGCAGCGAGCTCCAAACAAAATGCATGTAATGCGTCCTTTCGTCAGCCATCGGTACAATTTATATAGAGGAGACGTGTCAAGAAAAAGAATGTTTCTCGAATTATATAATAAATAGAATCTAACACTCGTGTTCATGTTATATTGAATTTATTAAACTCGTTTATTTTTTTCATATGAAATTAATAAACTCGTTCAATAAATTCAATATTACATGAACACTCTCAGATCCTCTATATATTAAATTGCATGACTGAAATTGTACTGCAGACGTAATATCATCTCCATAGGCCATAGCTTAAATGTTTCAACAGCTTTGACCTTTGTGTGACCTTGAGAATAAATCAAGGTCATTCATTTTCACCTTTGATAATCGCTATTTGCCAATAAAAATCGTTCAAAATTTTAACAAGTTTGACCTGTGTCTTTGAAAGTTAGTCTAGGTCATTAATTTGAACAAACTTGACAGTCTTCCATGCAAGCATGCTGCTGACAAGCATTACAACACTTATCCAATTTGTTATTGACAACAATCGCTTAAATGGTAAAACAAATTTCCCTTGCATGACCTTTAAAGTTAGTCAAAGTAGATCATTCGTTTGAGCAAATTGAAATCTTTTCATCCCTGCATCCTATTAAGATCGGCGCCCACCGGGATTTAATCCTGGATGTGTAATACCAAAGACGTAAATTTGGTAGTTGTGGCTTCTCCGCTAAACTGTTAGAATTAAGGGGATAGTGAAACGACTAGCCTGTCTTGAATCAGTATAATGTGTCTGGGTGCGGTGCGAAAATAACGTTTTGCACCGCAGCTTAAGATGAAAATTACGACAAGTGTTGCGACACTCCATGGCATCACCAAATACATCAGTTAAGGAAAGAAACTAACAAAGGGGAATGTTCAATATTTATTTTGGTCCTTTCAACATCATTTTGAAAATCACATAGTAAATGTATAAAATTCTCCTAAAAATGAACATGTTTTCTGTATAAACAATGTCCTGACATTACTGCTGCTGCAAAGAAAAAATACACCAGTTTTTTATTAATGTATTTTACCAATTAGAAAATCATTTGACAATGCATGGAGCTAACAAATCACTCATTATACAATAACTTCAATAACACGACCAGTCATGATGGACACATGAAAACATTGAGAGTAGGCTACCCTTTACACCTACTGCTCTACCAAAACCATCATGCAGCAGCTTAATGGTAAAATCGACAGGTTGTAAAGCTAGGCGTTGCTGCAGATGGACAGGTATCAGCCTAGATATTGTCAGTTTTTGTTTGACCTCAAACTAATCAAATAGCTGACCATTTGCCTTTGAATTTGTTAGGAAATATCCCAGGGGTGCAGAGAATGTAAGAGAGTGCAACACTGGGGATTTAGAGGATGCAATTTATTCTAGATTAACAAGATGTATCACATTGCTTACATCATTAGATAAAATTCGACAAATTTCTTGATAAATATCAATCAACAATAAATCTTACTTCAATGATAACTCTGTCCTACATCCGATGTCATTAGTCTGCCTTTGGTTTCCTGTTCCAGTAGTACAGTATTTGGGCCAAAATGAGGCCGTTACAGACGGATGAGACCACAAAACTCATAATTATCAAAGTGTCACCGGTTTCTTGCTGGGAAGTAAATATGCGGGCCAGGGATCCAGTGAATAACAAGGTCACTGTGATGGCAGATAACTGTCCTGTACCGCCATTCCTAAAATTAGTTAAGGCCTGTATCATCTGAAATAAAAAGGTGAGAAAGGTCAGAAATAGTGTAAGCAAGAATGTCTAAAAATGATAAACGAGAAATGTTTTTAAAAAAAATAAACTAGACATGTTTATCTAAAAACAGTTAACTAGAAAGGTAGGGTCAACGCCTATGGAGATTTAACATTAGCGTCGGCCCCCACTTAGAATTTCAAAACAAGATAAATCCAAAAAGGTATGGGTATATGAAGCTTAAATCAGGAACAGTTAGTTTCAGGATTCATTTGATGATAAATGATACCTCCTTGACTTACACCTGTGTGGGTGTTAAAGGTGCAGTAATACAATTTCCCCTAGAGCATTTAAATGGCACAATTACTATAACATTTTGGCAAGTAGGTTGTTCATGTAAATGCGTTTAAGTGTTGTTAATTTTGATGACCTTGATCTTTGTTCAAGGTCACAAAAACCAAATGTGCCGAAATAAATAGTTTGAATGGGGAGTCAGACAAGGGTATCTTTCCTTGCTTTATTTGTTAAGAATTAACGATTCAAAATAGTGCAATATCCCTTCATATTTTGTTTAATGATTTGTCAAAAGGCAACAAAAATAATAACTAGAACTGTAAGCCAAAGACTAACTAATACCCCCGCTCCTATATAAACCAGAACTGTAATCTTAAGACTAACTAAGGCAAAGCATTGCAAATTAATCCATAGTCTCCCACCAGTAATTATGTATGTATATATGTCACTGACATACTTCTTGTACTCCCTCCCTATGCCAAACCATACTTTCATACCACATCTTGTTAGCCTAGATGACCCACTTTTGCTGAAAATGTTCCAGTAGTGAAGGAAGGGTTATTAAGACAAAGATTTTTAACAAAAGGCCATAACTCCTTAAAAAGGTTTGAAATGAAAAATATACTACCCTGATGCACGATATCAGGGGGTAATTACCATATCTGTAAACTTTCATGAAATTGACCCAGAAGTTTATGAGGCAGACAAAGTTTTTTTCAAGAAAGGGTCATAACTCGGAATGAAAACATACTTCTTGGATGCACAATGTCAGGGGGCAGTTACCATATCTGTAAACTTCCATTGAAATTGGCCCCATAGTTTTGGATGAGTTGTCTGGACAAGTGTTTTTCAACAAAGGGCCATTACTCTGTACAAAAAGGGGCAGATTGAAAAAAGAATTCCTGGATGCTCACCATCAAATGGTTGTTACCATATCTGGAAACTTTCGTTGAAATTGACCCCTTAGTTTTGGAGGAGTTGTCTGGACAAGGATTTTTCAACCCGAGGCCAGAACTTTGAACGAAAAAAAAAGGACAGAATGAAAAAATAATACCTAGATGCACAACTTCAGGTGTTAGTTATCATATCTGGATCCCTTCGTTGAAATTGGTCCCCTGCTCTAGAATGAGTTGACAGATAGACGGATAGTCAAGCTGATTCCAGTATACCCCCCCCATGGATAATTGCATAGCTTTGTCTATAACACAATCTCAAACCTAAAGTAGTTCTCAAGAGGAAAGATTACTATGACAGAATACATATTCATGAGTTATTACTGCTGCACATAACTTTAAAACATGCCTAATATAATAAAGTGTTTTAATATGATACAAAAACAGAAAATGTATCGGTATTTATCATAATAAACATTGATAGTCAAATCTTCAAGGTTATGTAAAATTGGGCATTGATCATGTTTGGCATGCTAAAAAAGTACTCTACCGGTTTTTGATATTACATAAAAATGATTCTGTAGACAGAATTCATATATACATTCTTTCTGTCCTTTTTTTTTCGTTCAAAGTTCTGGCCTCGGGTTGAAAAATCCTTGTCCAGACAACTCCTCCAAAACTAAGGGGTCAATTTCAACGAAAGTTTCCAGATATGGTAACAACCATTTGATGGTGGCCAGAATATGACATATTTAGTATCAAAATAACAGTAATCTTATACACTATACATTCATATATATACCATCAAATGGTTGTTACCATATCTGGAAACTTTCGTTGAAATTGACCCCTTAGTTTTGGAGGAGTTGTCTGGACAAGGATTTTTCAACCTGAGGCCAGAACTTTGAACGGAAAAAAAAGGACAGAATGAAAAAATAATACCTAGATGCACAACTTCAGGTGTTAGTTATCATATCTGGATCCCTTCGTTGAAATTGGTCCACTACTCTAGAATGAGTTGACAGATAGACGGATAGTCAAGCTGATTCCAGTATACCACCCCCATGGATAATTGCATAGCTTTGTCTATAACACAATCTCAAACCTAAAGTAGTTCTCAACAGAATAAAGGAAATCAAAGTGGGGGCCAAATGTTGACTCCACCTTTGTATCTAACAATGATCAACTAAAAATGTAGCCGGTTTATGTATGTTCATATGCATTTTTCATTTTCAAGGATGACATCAATGCATTTAAATTTACTTACTTTACTGAGTATGACTACAACAATGTTGGCGCTTTGGAAGACAGACAACAGCTGAATGGAGACAACTGGTGAAAGCAGGTAGGCCATGCACAGCGTATAGATCACAAGGAAGAGTAAGGCCTGCTGCTTCCTGTAGTACAATACCAAGTACACAATGGCTGCTGTCTGCAGTACCAGGAATATACCCTCCCCATAGGAACTGCAACAAAATATGTCGGAAGATTTAAGCTTTTAACATCCAATATATGAGGCACAATTATCTCACAACTGTACATCATAAATAAATTCAACTAGAAATATCTTCAAAATATTAGTGGCAGAGCGCTTATGTATGTCTGAAGTAGCTGTGTACATTTCTTATGATTTTTTTAGAAGCAGGTGCCTACCATTCAAAGGAAATTACCTAACTTATTCTTATATATCAAGTCAAGTCATCCTCTCACTTTTGTTCTCTGCACTCCTGGAATATTTTGCTATGACATATATGTGGGGTGCAGAGAGCCTAAGTGAGCGTATCCCTTGGAGTATAGAGGGTTGAACTAAAGACAATAAACTCTAGCTGTTGTGTCCTTCTAATGTGTAAAATTGACATACCTGAATGGAAATTTCATGGCATATCCATATGTAGTGGTGGCAGACACAGCTATCAACTCAAACAGTACGCTGATAAAACTAATGCCTTCAGCACTCTTGGCTTTGAAAATCTTTAAAATCTGTGGCAGTTTTACTGAAAGGAAAGTCAATAGTTTGATTATTTTACAAACTTGAAAACCAAATAATCTAAAATGAAGTTTTTCCTAGCAGATTAACATATCTGGCCCATTCTTTTGTTCCCTAACAAATGATAATTTGGAATATTTACAGAATTATAAATTCAGGCCAGTGTTTGTTGATCATTTTAATTCAGCATTCAATTTAAATTAGCATGTTTAGTTTCATCAAAGATAAATTTGATTTCATATTTGACCGACTAAAAATGTGGGTGCTCAACTGCAAGAGACAGAAACAATTAGGGCCCCTTTCGCGTATCCGGTTCAACCAGTTGAAACGGTTGAACCTGAAAGAAAATGACAGACGCAGATCTTAACCGAGGCAGACCTCAGGAATATTCAGCATGTGTAGAACGAGGGGTCCACCAGACATGCCTGACTGTCAGAAACTAATATGCTGACTATAGTTTGCGTTATTTCTTTATAAAACAAGGTCAATCAACATGTACATTTGAAAAGGTACGTTATGTAAATGTCACAGGACATTTATTGAATAAACACTCCACACGTCCTGTTGGTTCGAGTCGAAATTTATTGATGACCAGAGTCTCATGCTGATTCATACAGAAAAACCCCTACAATACAAATATGGCCTAGAATTAGCTTAGTATGTCGCCGTATACAATACCTATGTTTGACAAGTCCAATATTTAATCTATATACTTTGAATTAAATATTCCAATTAATGACTACATTTAAGCATTCATGCTATAGTTACCTTCCGAGACTGTCAAGGTCCGGTAAAATCATGTCTATATAGTAGTCACTCTTTACGAGTACGGCAGGAATGTGCAGGTGGAACCCCAGAGGATACGCTCCACCTCACGATAAACAGCCAAGTGCGAATTAGCGCAGTGTATTATTACTTTTATTACTACTCTCCCTCACATTTGCATGCTTTCTTACAAACTCACACCCGAATTAACAAATAACTCATCAACAACACCAAATACGGACATATATACTCTGTGACATAAATTAGTGGACACTTCTTGGAGAAGGACATATTATTCTTGATATATTGTTATGTATTCTCTGAGACTGCTTTTTTAGCTCTGCGGCAGTCGGTCCATGTGCGTTCATCAGGGAATATTTCTGCACCACCTCAACCATTTCAACCGGGATCCATGAATGCAATACTGGTTAAAGTGTAAGGGAGACAACTCTGCAACCATAGCCAAACTAAGGGCCAGAGCTGTTTGAAATTTGGCCACCTAAGTAGAGAGCATTTTCACTTTTTTGTTCACACATGGTCTTTTTTTTATCGCTCAAGTAAAGCCTTCCATTAGTTCTCTAAATCTCGTTTTTGTAGTATTTTCAGTATATTTTTGATATGTTGCACATTAATTGTAAATGGACATATTTCTTTAGAGGCATCAAAATGAAGCTCACCATGAAAGAAAAAAAAGTGAAAAACTAAAGTCTGTTTCAATAAAATTACAGTGTTTTTTACAATTTACACTTCAAAATGCATGCTGAAGTTATATTGAAAATTATGTGCATTCCGTTTTTGTAGCATGTGCAGAATATGACGAAGTGCCGGTTACGACTTGACTCAAAGTTCTTATAGTTGGTAGTCACTGACTGTACTACCAACTATAAGAAGTGCACAAATATTGATGGCTTTAAAGGGAAATGTGATGATTTTACATACGGGAGCTTGCAAAGTCTTACCTAATACAGCACCAAGAATGATACCGTAACCAAGACATTTACTAAGGACCACTTTCTGACAGTAGGCTGAAAAATATGAAAAAAATAATGATTAATTTAACATGGTTAAGTTTTCTGGTGATGAAATAATACCAGATCAATTATAGAGCTGGTGAATCTTCATGCAAATTCAGACATAAGACTAAAAGTTTGAGAACAAAATGTCTACTGTAGCATTTGTTTCTCTCTTATTTTAAATTATTGCTTGAATGTATGTAACCCATGTAACCCTGTACCCCATGTGTACTAGGTTCACTGCACTAACACATCATCTATCACGTGCATAACATTGTCATTCTTACATAAGTAAATACATGTCAGTATGTACGTGCGTGCGTATGATTGGTTGAATGGGGTGAGGAGTATAAACGGAATGCACGGGCAGACCGGAGTCCTGTCACGTCCCAACCCAACTCTCTCCAGCCATTCCTCTTCAGGACTCGTAGGAGTCAACATCCATCCGTATCAGCCCTGGTAAGTCTGTCTGTAATGTTCACATTGTCATTGTACGTTTGTAATTTACCGTCTTGTATACTCGCGTCTTTGTATTCAATTCGATGTATGTAAGTTCAGGTCAATGTGTTATCAAATGTATCTATTGTATTCGTTTGTTAATATTACAGGTTTTTCCTACGGGAATAAACAAGATAAAACATCCAAGCCTGTCGTCTTATAATTTGAGGGGNGACCCCTGGAAAACTCGGGACGAGTTCTTTCTTAAAGGGGGAGTATGTCACCCTGGTAAAATACTAGCTGCTTCCTACCGTCTCGGCTAGAGAGAATTTCTCTTTAGCTCATTCGGTAGAGCATAAGACTAGTAAGCCAGAGGTCCCGGGTTCGACTCCTAGCGGAGGCATTGAAAACATAATGACCTCTGTTACATGTACAAAAATTCCTTTGAGTGTACTGTACACCAACATTATTATTATAGGTTTAACATGGTGATATACTTTTGACAAGTGCCACAGTTGTAGGAGTATTTCAAGTGGCAAGAGTATACGTATAAAATGAACTATATTTGAGGTGTATTTATCCTTGTAAGATCTTTTGCCTTCTAAACATTATTATCTGAAGGATAATTATTTGCTTGGTCTTATCACTATTGTGTGTTTCTTTTTGAAGTCAGCCAGCTAAAAATTCAAATCACAGTTATACCAAAATGGGTTGTTAAGCTAGAAAATTAATGTCGATTTGTCAAGTTTACAATCTCGATCTCGTGTGGTAAACTTGGATTGTGCTCACGTCATGTGAATATTGTACTTTGGACGTATATTAAGTCGTTTCGCCCCCTAATAGTTCGTTGACAAACGTTTTCGTCCAGTAACTGAACTGTGGTCGAAATGACGTCTAAAAACGACTAAGGAAAATTGCAGACTTTTAGCCTTTTCTTGTAAAGAAGGAAATCCAAACGAAATCAAAGTATACCATCTAAGAAATTTAAGTTGACAAAGAATTCATCGTAGCAGGGTTGCGGCACAAACACCTGCAAGGTTCTTTCCAAAAGAGATACCTCATCTGTTACCGGTTTCGCCATGGTTTTCGAAGTCAGTATTACGTTTGAGTGAGAAGTTAACGTAAATAAAGCGTTTGGTTGATGGTGACGTGCGGCAGTATAAAACAGTCTGACCCGGATAACGACCCGATCAAAGGTAGGCGATCTCTGTGTATTGTATATATATATTCTGGAATACATCAACATTTAAAGCTCAAACTTCATATTACAGCAATAAAGATGCATATTTCAAGATCTCACGACTTTATTTGCTTTCTGTAAGTATTTTACCCTAGAATTCCCACCTCCTGTAAGATATCACCGTAATTATGCTAAAAATAACCAACACTGTTCCGCAGATCCCAGGGGGTGTCACCAGCTATTTTAACAATGATTTTTTTTAAATTCTTGACTGGTGATTCTATTTATGTAATACACACACCCTCTCAACCCACTGATTAGTTGACACTAATTGACATCACCACCCATGCATCAATGAAATGGGTCAGCGAACCATATGCCTTGATCACAGGGGCACGTTACAAATGTCTGAAATACACATTTCAGACATTTGCACGTTATGTATGTTGTGCCCCATATCAGTATAGCATATGTGTGTATTTCAGACATTTGTAACGTGCCCCTGTGTCTTGATTGTGTAGACAAATGCCTGTCTATAGTGACCACATGTACATGTACGCGTGGGTTCGCTGGGCCTCGAACCCACGGCCATTGGCTCTCCATCCCGATGCTCTACCAACCGCTGAGCTAATGGGAAGACTTTCCTCGTCTATATGGTCAGTGGTCCGTAGTAGGCACAGGTGTTACGTTTGCAAGAAGGACAATTGACATTGCATTTTTTTTTTAAATCAGGAATCATTGTGAGAAAGTTATGTCAGTAAATGGACGTTAGCACATGCATGTAAATAAGCATTTGATCCAATGTTAGGTAGCGTTCATCGCTCATGCAACTTTATAATTTTTACGCCAAAATTAACTTCATATTCCACTATATAAGCTGCCCCGTTACTGAGAGTACACATGAGATGAGATGACGTAGAAGTCACGTGATTCAGAGATTTCGTAGTTTTCGAAGTGACCACACGGAGAAAGTTTTCAGATTATATTTTGTGCTTTAATAGGACATTTGCATTGGATTTTATTGGATTTTATTGGATTTTCATTCTATATATATATACCAGACGATATCGACAATTTCGCGGACGCGGTGATATTGTTTTTGTTGGTTTTAATCACACGTGGATAAGTGGAGACACTGTTTACATCTGTGACTACTGACCCGGGAAGGGTCATGGCGGACAAAGGCCCTTCCAATGTCGGTAATTTAATCGTACCGAAGGTGAACCCGGAAATATGGCTGAAGCTACCAGGTAAAACAAAAGCTACTGATTCCGGTCTACAGAAATTACAGGGCCTTACCAGTAAGGCCATCGTGCCAATCCTGAACATTCTGGACACTGTAGTGGAGGCTAATTAGAAGGGGAAACAAAAGATAAACCCTGATGATTTACTACCTGTAGTGAAAGATGGATTTAGCATAATGACACAGATCTTCACCGACATGTCTAGCTACAGACGGGAATGCATAAAACCATCTCTGAACAGCTTTGCAACAATTCGAACAAGGTGACTGACCTGTTGTTTGGAGATGATCTTGGAGCTAAGATCAAAAATATCCATGAATCGCAATCAGTGGGGATTAAAATGTCTCAGTCTAGTTATAAAAGACAAAAGACAGGACACTATAACCATGAAACTTCCTCTAACTTCAACAGAGACCAGGGGTACACAAAATTTGGAGGCAGCAACGGACAGGGATATAAAAAATACACCGTTAATAAAGCCTATAACAACCCAAAACCGTACTACCAAAAGACAAAGGCGGATTTTCACAAAAAGTTCCAGAAGAAACCAAGACAGTGACATCTCGGACTATTGTAAGTAATGATATACTTTCTTCTGTAAAAAACACACCAGAAACTTTCTTAGCTGGGAAAATATCTAGATGCTTGGATGTGTGGAGACAGATAACATCAGACAGATGGATATTGGAAGCTATAAAAGGTTATTCCATTGAATTCCTCAGTGAACCTCCTCGTCAATCGATCAGATTGAAATGGGTATTGTTGAGGATGAAATCATAAAGTTTGTAGACAAAAAAGTTATAGAACTAGTGACTGATGATTTTGAAATTAAGTATGGTTACATGTCCAACATATTTTTACGACCCAAAAAAGATGGAACATACAGAGTCATTCTTAATCTGAGACAGTTTAACCAGTATGTTAACACTACTCATTTTAAAATGGAAACATTGCAATCAGCTATCAATGTTATGAGAAAGGATTGTTGGTTTGCGTCAGTGGACCTGAAAGATGCATATTACTCTGTGAACATCGCTAAATCCGATAGGAAATTTCTACAGTTTGTGTGGAATGACAAAGTATATCACTTTACATGTTTGCCTAATGGATTAGCTACAGCACCACGACTGTTTAAAAAAATATGAAACCTGTGTTTTCACACTTGAGAAAACAGGGGTTGGTAAATGTCAGTTATATTGATGACATATTATTGTTGGCTAATTCAGTGGAAGAGTGCCACCATAACATCACTTCTACAGTGACACTGATGGATAATCTTGGATTAACAGTACATCCAAACAAGTCTGTATTAACTCCAACAAAAGCTATCATATTTTTGGGATTTATGCTTGACTCGGTTACCATGACAGTAAAACTTACCCCAGAGAAATGTGAGAAACTTGCATCATTATGTGTGTATATATTAAAAAAGGAAAAAGTGACTATTCGGGAATTGGCACAGGTCATTGGTAATATGGTAGCGGCATCAGCAGGGGTGACTCATTCAGCACTTTACTATAAGAAATTAGAATATGAGAAAGATGCAGCACTTAAAATGAATAAGGGTAATTTTGATGCTTTTATGACACTGTCTCAAACTGCAAATGGACATATTCAATGGTGGATTGACAACATAGATAACAGTTTTAAATCCATATCTCAAGGAAAACCCCACATCATACTAGAGAGTGACAGTTCCAGTTATGGCTGGGGAGGGGTCAACAAAACAGGAAACATCTCCACTGGAGGATTGTGGGATGCTACAGATCGAATAGATCATATAAATTTCCTGGAATTACAGGCAGGGTATTTGACATTGCAATGTTTTTGTAGTGACAAACAGAATATTCATGTTAGGCTCTACATGGACAACACTGTAGCTGTGAAGTACATCAATGCCATGGGTGGCAAAAAACCTGAACTTAACAAACTTGCCCATAATATCTGGAAGTGGTGTATTGGTCGGAACATTTGGTTGAGTGCTAATTATCTGCCTGGTACAAATAACATCGAGGCAGATAAAATGTCTAGGAATATTAATGATGATTCCGAATGGAAATTACAAGAACACCTTTTTGGTCAGTTAGAAGACTGTGTCGGAAAGTTTGATATGGATTTATTTGCGTCAAGAATTACACATCAGATGAAACCATATATCTCATACAGACCAGACCCCTATGCTGTGCATGTAGATGCTTTTAGTATATCGTGGACTAATTTAATGTCTTATATTTTTCCCCCATTCAGTGTGATAGGAGCTGTCCTGAGGAAACTGGAGGAGGATTCAGCGCAAGCACTTGTAGTAGCACCATTAACGACGACACAATCCTGGTTTCCGAAACTTTTGAGTCAGATTGCCAGCCAATCATTCATACTTCCAACACTGGAACGAAGTGTCTATCTACCACACAATCCAGACAGGATACACAACCTTCCAAAAATGAGACTGGGAGCTTTTCTATTGTCGGGGAATCATTGTCGCGCTACAAATTATCAGCAAACGCTACCAACATTGTCGCAAATTCCTGGAGAAATACTACAAAGAAACAATATTGGACATATCAACAAAAGTGGGTGCGATTTTGTGATAAATGGGAGGTTAATCCACTTGAACCATCTGTAATTATGATTGTGGAATTTTTAACTGAACTCTACGATTCAGGGTTAGGTTACAGTTCTTTAAACACAGCGAGGTCAGCACTATCGACAGTGATAAACTTGCCTAATGGTGAAGTTATAAGTACTCACCCTTTAGTTCGAAGGTTTATGAAAAGTGTATTTAATGAAAGACCTTCGTTACCGAGGAATAATGTTACTTGGGATGTTAATGTTGTGATTAAGTAAATTATCTACACTCAAACTAAAGGAGCTTACACTGAAATTAACAACTTTGTTAGCACTGCTAACAACCCAACGAACACAATCTATTCATTTAATAGACATCAGGAACATGACTTTAAATGAGTGTGAGGTGAAATTCCGAATAGGTGACAAAGTGAAACAAACCAGACCGGGTCATCATTTGCAGGAAATGCATATAAAAGCATTCCCTGGTGACAAAACTGTTTGCGTTGTAACAGTTTTGAAAGATTACCTCACAAGGATAGAGATGTTGCGCGGTGACAAAACTAAACTTTTGATTTCATATCACAAACCAGTGACTAAAGAATCTGTAAGTCGTTGGACTAAAGTGACACTAAAAAATGCTGGGGTAGATATGTCACTATTTACACCCCATAGTACAAGAGCAACATCAACATCAGCAGCGCTAATAGCCAAAGTACCTTTGACAACAATACTCAAAACTGCTGGCTGGAGCAGTGACTCTGTTTTTGCCAAGTTTTATGAGAAACCAGTACTTCAGAACAGTTCTGTGTCTACTGCAATACTACTTGAATACTCAGGGAAACAGAAATAGACTTCTGTTAGTGAACATAACAATAATCAGAACTTAAAACGTCATTTATTGTTGCTTAACTTTACATTGACTTTGTATGTATACATTATATCATGTAGGAAGATAAATGTTGTAAATATACATTGATGTTGGTTGTATATTTTCTTCCATCAACTTGGTTAAAACATTGGGTACATTACTCTAAAATCTCATGTGTACTCTCAGTAACGGGGCAGCTTATATAGTGGAATTGATAAATTAAACGATACTTACCCAGTAAGTTGAAGTTTGATAGAGATTCCACTATATAAGCTGCACCGTTAACTGAGAGATCACATGCCCACCCTCTTTTCTATGGGTATTTACACATATATGAAATAATATTTAATTAAATCATTGATGATGAGTATGGAAAATCTTATTACCCACCCTGAGGTTGATGGTTAATGTACCCAATATTTCTCTGAAAGCTGAATCACGTGACTTCTACGTCATCTCATCTCATGTGATCTCTCAGTTAACGGTGCAGCTTATATAGTGGAATCTCTATCAAACTTCAACTTACTGGGTAAGTATCGTTTAATTTATCAATTATCACGGACTTAGTTCCGTGATATTATGTAGTAGGACGAGGAATAGTGATAAAGATAGTGCCGTCGCTGTGGCTCGAACACGCGACCATTGGCTCTCCAGCTCTACCACTGAGCTAAAAGGAAATTCCCTACAGCTAACGCTTGTAAGGCAATCTAATTAATCCACATCTTTTACACTATTCCCTCCTTTTTTCAAACACCAACCCAGGTTCTTTGACTCCCTCCCCGCCAAGGGTCTCCTACCTTGAACGGGGAGGGTCAACGACACCAATTTATAGTAGGACGAGGAATAGTGATAAAGATAGTGCCGACGTCGCTGACCCTCGAACCCACGACCATTGGCATCCCGATGCTCTACCGCTGAGCTAAAGTGAAATTCCCTACAGGTTACGCTTGTAAGGCAACCTAATTAATCCACATCTTTTACAATTATATAACTACATATTGCACTTGAACTTCTTTATGAAGACATTTTTATTTTATAATTAGCAAATCTATTCCGGTATTTATTTTCTTTCATGATAAGCTAGAAAGTAGTAGCAATATTACAATAACATAATTCATCGGAAAACAAAAAATAGGATAATCTTCTTCTTCAGTAGATAATCATCTATAGGCCAGAAATGTTGTTATAAACAAATAACAGCTAAAACTATTGCGCGTGAATATACGTCCCCTTGAACGTAGTTGAGGCTTGCATACAGCAGTGTAAAGGTTGACGTTGTGGTTGATGCAAAGTATAAGGTTCATGTTCCTCATATGCATGTACAAGTAAACCGGCTTTTACTATGTATTTGAAAAAATATATCATATTTGGGATCATGCAACTTATAAAATAAGATTATATAGCTGTAGAATACCTGTACGATACAGGTCGCAGTACATCATTTTGGTGTACACATACAAGGTACTGAATGAAACAGCTCCTCAATACCCACAGGAGCTTGTTAACCTGTATCAGTCGTCACGATCACTGTGGTCGGAGACAGAGTAATTGTTGTGTGTCCCAAAATGTCGTACTGTGACCTATGGAAACCGGTGCTTTGGGAGGGTTTCGGCCACGTTGTGTCATAGCTTACCATCTGTTGTTAGAAAGTCAAATACCCTGGCCAAATTCAAGGACATAAAAACTCACCTCTTCACGTCTGCATTTAAGGATCTTTGCACGGACGTCATGTCATGTACAAAGCACATTTCATTTATTCCTTTATGTGCACATTGAGATGATTATCTTATTGCTTAATGTATAATGGTGATTATTAGCCTTTTTTGTTTCACAATTATAGCTGATACTATTATCCATATGTTGTCAAGCGCTTTAGAGTAAGTTTACACATTATATAGGACGCTATATAAATGTTGTATACTGTTATTATAGAACATATAACATGTAATATACTAGTACTAACCGAAAACAAAACGCGATTCAAAAAGCAAACACTCATAGCATCGTATTAGAGCTTTTTTGTAAAGAGAATTTCTTATTGAAACTTTCATTTCGCTTTATTAAGGTAGAAATTCCAAATGGTCTTTGTTGCATCTCCAACAAAGAATTCCAATATTTTGGGCATTTTATGACCAGGAATGTTCTGCCGTTCTTTGATATTTTAAATATTATCATTTTGTATTTCACAAAAGAAATCAACTCCTTCACAAATATTTGATAATCAGATCCATTGACTACAAGAAAATATCTTTTGTGTAAATTAGAGACATTTATTATTCCGGTACTTTGTGCTTTGAGAGTTAGGCTATGAATCTTCATAAAAAAAGACTGACAGAGAGCTAGCGCGCTACCACCGTTCATGGTATTCTAGTTTGAAATAGTTAAGAAAGGTTTCGACTACCTGAAAGGTCCCAAACCTGTAAATATTTGATATGAGTATACAATGTGAATTTAACTGGGAAGTAACCTTTTACGATATGTATATAGTATGAGAAATAGGGCAGTACTTTTTGAACAGGTATTCGACAAGAAGCTTCGCATATAAGGTACACAACCTCAACTTTACCTCAACAGCATCCCCGAAATTACAGGAATGACGCTGATGTCATTACCAAATCATAGGATCTGTACGAGCCACTTTGTGTATAATACACGTAGACTAGTTTGATCCTTTGATGCCCATGAAAAGAATCTGGCTTCAGCGTAACCACAACCCTTCGATTTTGTTACGAAAAAGTCAAAGAGTGCAAAGAATATATGTGTCTCGACGGCAGAACCTTTGGATTTTGAAAATGGGTTCAGCGGTACGAAACAAACCCCAAACCTAATGAACATAATAATAAAAAATAAAAAATAGATTGCACAAATCATGATGGCGACCATAAAAACCTGCCCATGGCTTTCATCAACCTGCATTTTTTGAGACTCTGTGTTAGAAGTTTGTCCGTCAGCAGTCGACGTCTCTCCTGACTGAAACGTGAGCATAATAATGACATAATGTCAAACCGATTTTATCTGAATCTTCGTGTTGTCATTTTGTTTGCAGAAAACATGAGTTTGAAAGGAAAGGTTGCCGTGGTAACGGGGTCCACGACTGGGATTGGTTACGGCATTGCAACGGCTTTGGCGGCGCGAGGTAGTGCTCTCATCATAACGGGACTGGCAGACCAAGATACCATCGACCGCGTCATCGGAACCATAAAAAGGTATGTCGAATATCCTCGCCTTCAGACAATAAAATATCTCAATTCCTTATCAATAGATGGAAGCACGTCGCAATTCTATAGTTTGACACAACAGACGTCACAAATCCGAAACATTAGACAGAGACACAGCAAGAGAATACCAAGGTGTCAATAAAACCGTGATTCGAACTCCACATTGATAAAACTTGCAATTGGGTAGACTAGGAAGAACAGACAGATTTATAAGGAGACTGTTAATGAAATACATGGAGAATAAGACCAGGTGTTCCGGAGGCGTCTTCTGCTACAGTGGTAAGCCACCACCACACATATTACGTAACAGTAAAAATGATTATTGATAAAATGCTAGCAATACTATATGCAAGTGTCACCATATTGTGTTCTTGCATATTTACTGCAGTGAACACAAAGTTGATGCGACGTTCGTACCAGGAGACCTGTGTTCTGTGACGTCATTAGAAAGGCTCTGTAAAAAGGTTCTGGAGCTGTATCCTGGGGGAGTTGACATACTGATCAACAATGCCGGTACGTGTGTCTGATTATTCGTAGAGTACTGTTGTTCATAGTTCCAATGCATAAATTAGGTAATTATCTAAAGAGACGATGATGATTGATAATGATTTACTTAGAGTAGAAAGTATTAAAGAACCATGCTCATTGGTAGTTACATTTTTGAAGCAAATAAATTAAGATCAAATGGTTAAACAATGATTTCATGTAAATCAACAGAGCTTCTTTCTCTACATATATGTGTATGCCATGCTATAGCTTTCTTTGTATTTGTTTGATTGATGGGCCGAAGGTAATAACAAAGATGAATTGAATGTACAGACAACTCAAAGACATTATGTAATCACATTTTAAACGTCTTTTATAAAATTACTGGATAGTACATAGACCGTGTCTCTCTAGTATAGTATAAAGAAACAAAACTATGTCAAATTAAAAACAAGTTACTCAACCAAATAACGAAAGGTTAAACCTTTTGAAATAGGTAATGACAATTTGTATATTTATCAGCAAAATCGGTCAACTGTGGAAAGCGCCAAGTGTTCCCTAAGTTGAAGTCAGTTTTTGCCGCTCACCTATGAATCTCGAAGAGTCGACAAAGGAAACTTTGGCTGTGTAAACTGTATCCATTTTCCATTGAGTTTAAGTTTATAAAGCGACATGTCGGTATATCTAGGAGAATAGAGATAGCGGTTGGTATCATGAAGGTTGGTTGTTGCACAACGTCAGTTTACGTCGATGTATTCGCTCATTAAAAGCCACTATCCTTCTCATTCTGGCAGATCGCGCGTAATGACCTAAGAGAAAGACAGTCTTCGTTTATATCTGCTGTATCTACGATATCGTAACACATTTCTTCCCAAAACGGTTTGAGGTTAAGATTGCTGCATTTCATAAATTGACTGGTTTGGTTGCAGGAGAATTATGAAGAAGTATAGGTTATCCTGTGGTAATCGCACAAAGTTGGTGGTCATTAGCGAAAGCCTGAATGCTGTTCGTTATAGGGATGAAATGCTTGCTTGTTCCTTCAGGGTTTTTCTTGTAGACCATCGACCAGAACGTCGTTTTCCACAGGATTAAACACATCTTATCTAGCCAGGATTTCCAGACTGGCCGTGTTCTTTTCCTGATCCTTAGCTCGGGAAGCGTCTGCTACATGTAACAAATGCTCAGCTTACTATCTCCAGCAACTTGTCTAGACTTTAAATGAGAAATGACAGATCATTGCATCGAATGAATCCCGACGTTACTACACCACCTGAGTGCGGAGATGTGGCTGTACTCGATAACGAATCGGTTTAATAAACTATCCCATCTGTGTTTCGTTAAGCTCCAAATCAATCGCGTGTTTACTGATAAAACTTTGGTCAGTTGGAATAATTCGAAATGAAATTATACACCTGTTGATATATTCGAACAAAATTTCTAATATTGACTTGACCTGTCCTTTTGGTTGAGTATATAAACCAAACACTGTGGTCTAAATATATCAGTCTTTCTCCTGTCAATCCTAAACTCTGTCTGTTTGCTACTAGTAGCATTTGGAAAATGACATGTCATGATTTTGCTCTTGGTGATTTGGTCCTATATAGCATTTTGTTTGTTGACACAGGTATTCAGCATCTTGACTTAGTAGAGAACTACCCGACAGAGAAATGGGACTCAATGATGGCCGTGTCCTTGTCCGCGCCATTTCATCTGATGAAAGCATTCATCCCCGGAATGAAGGCCAAGGGTATTGTACTAGTCATATGAGCTCTTGCGACACCTGTTTTATTTTTAAATTCCTAATACACATTTATTGATGATGCATATGTATCAGTTCGAGTCTATTCAGAATGAGAAGTCAGTGCACAATGAAGTGTTCGGAATATTAATACAGACGAAAAATGTTTCTATCTATCTATATATATTATGATACTCCACAGGGACCAGAATGGCTTTTTTACGGTGGGGTTGAGTACGCATGCGATACTTAACTTTTGGTTTATCCCAGTTGGTGTAGGATTGATGCTTTAAATGCCTCTACCCATAAACCTTCATATTGTGTTGTCGTCCAGGGGGTTCCAGTTCGTGGCTGTTCACATAAAGAAAGAGTTTTTGTACTGTTGTATGTAGCTGTTCGTTATTATGACGGCTTTGTTATTGTTCATGGTGGAATTTTGAATTTGTCTTGATGTCTCGTACTCTTTGAACTTCCGCTGTCGTATTTCCCTTTTCTCATGTTGAAATGAATGAAATCTTTGCTAGGTAGGCATTGATGGAATTTGGTCCTCAACGACTTCGTAAAAGAATGTGAACCTCTGTTGTTTGCGTCTTGATGCTAGTTATGGCAGAACTTTGAAGAGTTTTGTTATAAACCCTCCTTCTTATATATTCTTACAATATAGTTGTAATCCTAGGTATGGATTTGTCTGTACATTATCTAAAATATGTCCATTAAGCTGGTTTGAGTTTTGCATTTTCTTCCTACTACGAAGTTTGCTAGTCTGTCTTTAATAAATTCAAATTCAAGTGTTTACAAAATATTCATAAAATTGCGGAAATAAAGTTTAACGACACTCAAGAAATTTACAGCACGGAAATGGGTTACAGTAAAATACTTTGTATTTCTAATGCTTCACAGAATTCAACGTTTTTGCACATTCAGAGTTAGCATTTGGTTGATAATTTTTGGAAAATACATGTAAGTTTTTGTGTAAGGGGGGATCCATGTAGTTTGTTTTACACTGTGAGCTATGAAGGATACACGTTGCTTGTATATTGCAGGCTGGGGAAGGATTGTTAACATGTCTTCCCAAATGGCGATGATCAGTGGACCAGGAAAGGCCCCGTATAGTGCTGTAAAGGCAGGCCTCGTAGGACTGTCCAAGGTAGTGTATAGTAGCAGATGTTCCGTCAAGGAAATGTGTGACCTTCCACCCTTAAGTCAATATTCGCCTAGTCACATAAAAACCCACATATTTCGAGAACTAATAGCATAACCTCTCTTTCTGAATACTATATATTTCTATCTGTTTAAAGCTTTCGGGAAAATGTGGAATATTAATTTGAATGTGTCCGTTTGTTTGTCCGTCTTTCATGCTTGGTTTCCGTTCAAAATTTTCCATACAAATTGGTATTAGAGTTCATGCTGGTAAGTGTAAGTTCTATTGTGTTTTTGATATGTGCAAGGTTACGCGTAGTTACCTGTAATGATGCTACTGATTGCATTATTGGTTTTCATGCAATAACTCTCTTTTATTAATGGTTCGATTTCTACCAAATTTGGGGTGCGTAATTTAAAACATAACAATTGCTTTGTTTGGCCTAATGGTGGCGAGGATGCTGCATCTATGGAAATTGTCACAGGTGTATATCTGATGAAATAAAACAAACTTTATGATAATCTGGCGACTATTTACATATCTAGTTTTCACAACAATGTTCTGACTTCGTTGATCTGATATACCATCTTGTATATAAACCGTGTTATGTATATGTAGGTTTATAGTAGTTATTAAAGCCTTTCTATGTAGATTTATGTATTTGCATGCTACTAAATGATGTTCCCTACAGTCATGATTATCAAATATCCGACAAAAGGATTTTGTATACATTTCTGACGTTAGCATGCCACCATGCATAGGATGTTACATACGTTCCTGATTGTTACAAATGTCATCGAAGGATGGTCGTACGGTCCTGATTGTTATAAATGCCATCGAAGGATGGTCGTAAGGTCATGATTGGTACAAATGTCATCGAAGGATGGTCGTAAGGGCATGATTGTTACAAATGTCATCGAAGGATGGTCGTAAGGTCATGATTGTTACAAATGCCATCGAAGGATGGTCGTAAGGTCATGATTGTAACAAATGTCATCGAAGGATGGTCGTAAGGTCATGATTGTTACAAATGTCATCGAAGGATGGTCGTAAGGTCATGATTGTTACAAATGTCATCGAAGGATGGTCGTAAGGTCATGATTGTTACAAATGTCATCGAAGGATGGTCGTAAGGTCATGATTGTTAAAAATGTCATAGTAGGATGGTCGTATGGTCCTGATTGTAACAAATGCCATCGAAGGATGGTATGTACGGTCCTGATTGTAACAAATGTCATCGAAGGATGGTATTTACGGTTTTGATTGTAACAAATGTCATCGAAGGATGGACGTACGGTTATGATTGTTATAAATGTCTTCGAAGGATGGTCGTACGGTCCTGATTGATACAAATGTCATCGAAGGATGGTCGTAAGGTCATGATTGTAACAAATGCCATCGGAAGATGGTCGTAAGGTCATGATTGTTACAAATGTCATCGAAGGATGGTCGTAAGGTCATGATTGTTACAAATGTCATCGAAGGATGGTCGTAAGGTCATGATTGTTACAAATGTCATCGAAGGATGGTCGTAAGGTCATGATTGTTACAAATGTCATCGAAGGATGGTCGTAAGGTCATGATTGTTACAAATGTCATCGAAGGATGGTCGTAAGGTCATGATTGTTACAAATGTCATCGAAGGATGGTCGTAAGGTCATGATTGTTACAAATGTCATCGAAGGATGGTCGTAAGGTCATGATTGTTACAAATGTCATCGAAGGATGGTCGTAAGGTCATGATTGTTACAAATGTCATCGAAGGATGGTCGTAAGGTCATGATTGTTACAAATGTCATCGAAGGATGGTCGTAAGGTCATGATTGTTACAAATGTCATCGAAGGATGGTCGTAAGGTCATGATTGTTACAAATGTCATCGAAGGATGGTCGTAAGGTCATGATTGTTACAAATGTCATCGAAGGATGGTCGTAAGGTCATGATTGTTACAAATGTCATCGAAGGATGGTCGTAAGGTCATGATTGTTACAAATGTCATCGAAGGATGGTCGTAAGGTCATGATTGTTACAAATGTCATCGAAGGATGGTCGTAAGGTCATGATTGTTACAAATGTCATCGAAGGATGGTCGTAAGGTCATGATTGTTACAAATGTCATCGAAGGATGGTCGTAAGGTCATGATTGTTACAAATGTCATCGAAGGATGGTCGTAAGGTCATGATTGTTAAAAATGTCATCGAAGGATGGTCGTAAGGTCATGATTGTTACAAATGTCATCGAAGGATGGTCGTAAGGTCATGATTGTTACAAATGTCATCGAAGGATGGTCGTAAGGTCATGATTGTTACAAATGTCATCGAAGGATGGTCGTAAGGTCATGATTGTTACAAATGTCATCGAAGGATGGTCGTAAGGTCATGATTGTTACAAATGTCATCGAAGGATGGTCGTAAGGTCATGATTGTTACAAATGTCATCGAAGGATGGTCGTAAGGTCATGATTGTTACAAATGTCATCGAAGGATGGTCGTAAGGTCATGATTGTTACAAATGTCATCGAAGGATGGTCGTAAGGTCATGATTGTTACAAATGTCATCGAAGGATGGTCGTAAGGTCATGATTGTTACAAATGTCATCAAAGGATGGTCGTAAGGTCATGATTGTTACAAATGTCATCGAAGGATGGTCGTAAGGTCATGATTGTTACAAATGTCATCGAAGGATGGTCGTAAGGTCATGATTGTTACAAATGTCATCGAAGGATGGTCGTAAGGTCATGATTGTTACAAATGTCATCGAAGGATGGTCGTAAGGTCATGATTGTTACAAATGTCATCGAAGGATGGTCGTAAGGTCATGATTGTTACAAATGTCATCGAAGGATGGTCGTAAGGTCATGATTGTTACAAATGTCATCAAAGGATGGTCGTAAGTTCATGATTGTTACAAATGTCATCGAAGGATGGTCGTAAGGTCATGATTGTAACAAATGTCATCGAAGGATGGTCGTAAGGTCATGATTGTTACAAATGTCATCGAAGGATGGTCGTAAGGTCATGATTGTTACAAATGTCATCGAAGGATGGTCGTAAGGTCATGATTGTTACAAATGTCATCGAAGGATGGTCGTAAGGTCATGATTGTTACAAATGTCATCGAAGGATGGTCGTAAGGTCATGATTGTTACAAATGTCATCGAAGGATGGTCGTAAGGTCATGATTGTTACAAATGTCATCGAAGGATGGTCGTAAGGTCATGATTGTTACAAATGTCATCGAAGGATGGTCGTAAGGTCATGATTGTTACAAATGTCATCGAAGGATGGTCGTAAGGTCATGATTGTTACAAATGTCATCGAAGGATGGTCGTAAGGTCATGATTGTTACAAATGTCATCGAAGGATGGTCGTAAGGTCATGATTGTTACAAATGTCATCGAAGGATGGTCGTAAGGTCATGATTGTTAAAAATGTCATCGAAGGATGGTCGTAAGGTCATGATTGTTACAAATGTCATCGAAGGATGGTCGTAAGGTCATGATTGTTACAAATGTCATCGAAGGATGGTCGTAAGGTCATGATTGTTACAAATGTCATCGAAGGATGGTCGTAAGGTCATGATTGTTACAAATGTCATCGAAGGATGGTCGTAAGGTCATGATTGTTACAAATGTCATCGAAGGATGGTCGTACGGTCCTGATTGTTACAAATATCATCGAATGATGATCGTACGGTCCTGATTGTTACAAATGCCATCGAAGGTTGGTCGTACGGTCCTGATTGTTACAAATGCCATCGAAGGTTGGTCGTACGGTCCTGATTATTACAAATATCATCGAAGGATGATCGTACGGTCCTGATTGTTACAAATATCATCGAAGGATGATCGTACGGTCCTGATTGTTACAAATGTCATCGAAGGATGGTATTTACGGTACTGATTGTTACAAAATTCATCAAAGGATGGTATGTACGGTCCTAAATGTTAAATATGTTGCTTAGATGGTGTGTGTAGTACTGATTGTTGAACTTGAACAATATCAACAACGAGTCTTTAGTACTTTTATCTCTTCAAGGAGATTCTTTAGACTGTTTATTTGAAGAAGATTTTGTGACGTCGTAAACTTTGACGTTACAATATAATAGTTCGCTATAGCGACGTCCGCTATATGCGTACCTCCATAGCGATATCACAGCAATAGAAATACATATCTATGGTCTTGAGGTAAAGAGTACTATTTGTTTAGGATTTAGAATTACTAGTAATACGATTATTTACAACATATACTTCAAATACTCCTAGAAGAGATTAAAGTACTGAAGACTCGATGTTGAGAATTTTTCTTTTTATAATATTTCTTCGTCCGTTAAGATCCTTTTTCTGCTTTTATAACAAAAATTTGAAAAGTTTTTTTTTTCTTAATGTATTGGTTCCAAACAAAATGTATGTGTGTCGAAATGTAACAAATCAAGATGTGGTGCTTGTGGTTTTTTATTCAAGGAGTAGAAATCACATTCAAAAATGGAAAAAAAAGAAGTAAAAGCTAATATGAACTGTAGATCTCGGAACGTTGTTTATGTAATGATCTGTGTAGATCTCGGAATGTTGTTTATGTAATGATCTGTGTAGATCTGGGAATGTTGTTTATGTAATGATCTGTGTAGATCTCGGAATGTTGTTTATGTAATGATCTGTGTAGATCTCGGAATGTTGTTTATGTAATGATCTGTGTAGATCTCGGAATGTTGTTTATGTAATGATCTGTGTAGATCTCGGAATGTTGTTTATGTAATGATCTGTGTAGATCTCGGAATGTTGTTTATGTAATGATCTGTGTAGATCTCGGAATGTTGTTTATGTAATGATCTGTGTAGATCTCGGAATGTTGTTTATGTAATGATCTGTGTAGATCTCGGAATGTTGTTTATGTAATGATCTGTGTAGATCTCGGAATGTTGTTTATGTAATGATCTGTGTAGATCTCGGAATGTTGTTTATGTAATGATCTGTGTAGATCTCGGAATGTTGTTTATGTAATGATC